ATTTGCCATAAATATCTTGGTTGGTTTGTTTCAAAAGATAATATGTTTCCACTGTGAATATCTCTATGTATTATATTTTTTTTATGAATAATTTCAATCCTAATTTTTTTAATAAATAGATTAGCATCGTAAATTAACAATCATAATAAAATAAAATAATTTAATTTTATGAATAATTATGTATATACCCTTCTAAAATTTGCCATAAATATTGTAATTTCGTTTTATTCCATCTAATACATGCAAAATTATTTTGTAAATATTTATTTAAATCTCCACTTGATGTATATTTCATTACAAACATATAATCATTTGTTTTTAGATTTTTTGTTATACCGTAATATTTGATAATACTGCTAACTTTATGACCAGAAGAACAAGTATGATGCAAACTTAACTAATTTTTTTAAAAAAATAACAATGAAAATTTGCATCTAAATTGAAATCGCAAACAATATGGAGGATTAGATAATTACAATAATTACCTCATTTAAGAATTGTTTACTAATTCCTTTTGAATTTCTAAGACTTTTTATGGCGACAGTTTTATTATATCGAAATACGCTATCAGATGATCGATTTTTATATTCCGGTATACCGTCAGACCATTCTGCTTTGTAAATGGTACCAAAACCTCCTTCTGATATTTTTTCTAAATTTGAAATTCGAGAAGGTGGAATCCATTCCATTATTGAGTATAGTGGAGTCATAAGACATCTAATAAAACCGTAGATTCCTAATGGATTAAAATTTTTCGCAAGAGTTTGCATATAATCAGCGATCTGATTATTCTTTTCATCATCTTTAATTGTTATGTTATTAAAAAGAAATTCATCTATATTAATATTTCCACTGCTTAAATAATTTGTATCAATATTGATAAAGGATATTCTTTTGCATTTCCTACATTGAGATTGATCTATAAATCCAAAAAAAATATTTGTTGTTAAACAATATCTACATCCAGAATAAATTACGCGACAACATGTGCACCATTTGTGACAATCAGATAATTCAGCTAAATTTTTAGCACAATTATTACATTCATTACTAACATCCCACCATGGTAAATAAAGAATTGGAATAAGCTTTTCAGTTAAAGTCGATTCTACCCATCCAGAAGAAATTTTATAACAATCTGAACATATTTTAGAGTAGTATTGAATCTCTTGAATCGGTAACTCACACTCATAAACTAACTTCCCACAACATAATTTACATTCCTTTTTATTTTCTAATATTTTAGAATTCTGAATGATCAAGTGTATAAGAGAATACTCTAATATATGCCTATAACTAGTTTGTACTTGATTGAAATAAAAAATCTCGGAGCAAGTTTCACACCATTCTTGAATGTTTTGCGTGCAAAAATCCGCATTCCTAGCTTCATGCTTGTTACATGGTAACTTATTTGTACCTATAAGTACATCCAAATACTTATTATTATCAGTTATGCGACTAATATACTTGTATAAACACTTTACACAATATGGTTGGTGATATAAAACTGTAGAAGAGTACACATTTCCACAATGACATATACCACCAAGAATCTGGTGTTTTAATTGTTTTAATGGAATGAACGTAATTGGTATAGGATTGGATTTTAATTTTGTAGTTGGATCAAAAGAAGCATTTTCATTATTTGTTATTGCAAGTTTCATTTTTTATAATATGAAAGTTTTTAAAAGTATGAAAATTGTACGATATATATAGTTAATTAATGTTACACGGAAATATTCTTAGATATACATGATAACTTGCATAATATCCGACCGTATGACGAAGTGATTCTTTACAGAAGGTTAGTTTGAAGCTTGCAATACATTAAGTTAGAGGCCTGCAACGGGCCGTGCCGGTTCAAGATACCAGCTCGGATTTTTTTATAAATTTGGCAAAAATCATTAGTTAGTTAAAATTATAGCCGCCACTGATTATACAATAAAACTTTTATTGTTAATTAATTTAATTAATTACATAAAGTTTGTAAACAGTAGTAGCATTTGGTATTACATATTGCTCTTCATTAATATTTTTTATTTATTTATTATTATAATAAAGCATTGTTAAATAATTGTAAAATAAAATACATACATATTATTATTTATGTTATTTGTTAAATAAAAATAAAATGTTAAATTGTTTTCGGACTTATGCAGGTTTCTACATTAAGTTAATTAAATAGTCATCGCATTATAATAAGTTTATCTGCACGCGCAATAAACAAAAAGATAAAGATGAATTTAGTAGTTTGTACAATTTTGAAGTAAACATAAAAAATTTTTATAAAAATTAAAATAAATTTATCTTTGTTAACAAACGAATAACTGTAGTGATGTTCCTTTACCTTATATTAATTCTTATAATAAATAAAAAAAGTTTATTTTTTTAAAATTAAAAAAAAAAATAAAGTACAAAGATAAAAACATTAGACAAACTATTTTAAAGTACTCAATTAGTAAATATTCAAAGCGTCCACAAGGTCCTTTTTATGTACTCTCATTATATGGAAAGAATCTGTTCTTCAATAGAATTCTATAATTAAATAACTTATTAAAATTAATCATCTCGTAGTACCAGCATACGCTTCGTTTAACAATTGGCGATCGGTCAAGTAAACCAATAAAAAAATTTTGACCAAAATTATGATTTCCTCCTTTTCTAATTCTTATGATAACTGCATTGTTTATTTTAAAGTAGTGAACGAATTACTTTTCATTATATTTCCCAAAATAGTAATTGAAAAATGAAATAATTTTGTGTTCTAGAGATAATCTCAGAGTTACGTAAAAAAGCCACGGATACATTCATGAAATACTTACCAGAACACAAAATTTTTGTACTAACTAGAATTAGATTTGCGACGACGTTAAGCAACATAAAAAAAAAAAATAAAAAATAAATTAAAATAATAAATAAATTAAATTTAAAAAAATAAAAACATTTCGAAATCAAATCAAATCAAATAAATTATTCTTTTAATTTAGTTTTAAATAGCCACAGTTTTTTGTTAATAATTTTTATTTATTTATTTTTACTTTAATGAATCACCTATTTTAAAAAAATCAAAATTAAAAATAAAAAATTGTTTAAAAATCGTGATATTAAAAAAAAAATAATAAAGAAACTTTACATTTTTTTCGTCGCGATAGCGACCCGGGGCAACGACCGGTTAGTATTGCTAGTAAAACAATAAAACGATTATTACTTTCAAATATTAAGGCCGGCCCCTATCCGGATATTACCATGAATCTAGTTGACTAAGTATTTAGTTAATTCATTAAAAAAGTTAGTTAGCATTTGAATCATAAAATGGCCCTTAAAATTTTCCATCTTTGATCGAGTTAATTGAAAACTGCAAAACATAAGTTCGTTATTTAAAAGTAACCCGCCCATTAATTTTTTTTACAAAATTCATATGATCAAAATGTTCTTAATGTACTTTTTAAAGAATTATTTCCTTAGCACAAAGTATATTCGCAAAGAAGAGACTTCTAAAGTCCATTCTTCGTTGTCGCTATTGTTGGCATCTAAAGAAAAACATAGAATTTTTAGAATTTTTTTTTTTTTTTTAAGAAATAAAAATAAAATAAAATAAAAATTAGTTTTTTATAAACATAAGAAATAAAAATTGGTAAAATATTTGATAACCGATTTTTTTTTAGAAAATAAAGTTCAGAGATTTAATGTCTATTATCCTAACTTAGTTTAATGTTTTTAACGTTAATGTGATAAAGGGAGTAAATATTGGATATGATGAGGAGAAAACGAACAAAACAAACAAAGAGAAATTGATTAAAAAAAAAATAATTATATAAATGGAAGAATGATAAATAATTTTTATTAACCTACCTTTCTCCATTTCAAACGATATGGCATGTTCCATAATAATTTTCATAATGTTATACAATACTTGCGATATGATAGAAAATCACTTCACTCATGCATTCTAGTCAATCGATCCCTATACTCCCTTTTCCATTTTATGTCTAAAGGTTATATAATTCAATCAACCAATTTTAAAGTCGTTTATTTCATTACCCCAGTTTTATTAACTAACGTGCATATTAATAATCTCCATGAATCTCCTAACGTCCTAAATACCCTAAAATCCCCTTAATCTTATCAATTATTTTAATTCAAATAAAACAACCTTCAATTTGTAAATTTAAAGAATTTAAGTATTCACGAAAATAGACAACTGGATTCATTTAAGGTGGTAAAATTTCTTTGTATCTCATTAATTAAGTTATGTATATATCATATGCTCCATAAATATTTTATCTGTGGGCATTATTATGATCATCTTTCATTCCGAATAATTTTAGATAATCCAAAGTACATATCAGGGATTGAAAGCTTAAGTTATATCCTATTTTTGACGACCTTGATCAATTACAGGCTTATTTAATATCATCTTCAATCAAGCTACTTAATTTTCATACAAACAACTCATCATTCACGCAAAGTCAAAGTGACTTAATTCAATTACAACCTCTCGATGCAAAAAGGAACTCTGACATTTGTACTCTGATCAAAATTAATAAATTTATCAATCATGGAATGATTATTTTGATGAGAACGATCAATTTTAATTTTAAGATGATGATTATTTGCAAATAACGAATGCATTAATAATTTGGTAGTTTAGATTTTGATCTGGGAACTCCTACATATTATTTATAAATTTGCTGTTTGTTAAATTTGTGGATACAAATTTGAATAAATTGATGATCACGTCAGTTAAAAATTCTGGCAGGTCGTAAACCGCTTCTAAATATTATTTCAGAAAACATAAAAATACGTAAAAAGAAAGTATTCTTAAATGGTAATCTCACACGTGAGTGACTGTTTGATCATCAATTTATTGTTTCTTCTGTATTGTAAGTTAAGAATTTGAATTATAAAATGGTTCGAAAAATTGGTACTCTTTTATTTTTTAAAAAAAAATGAATCTTCCGAAATTTGATGGAATATTCACCCAGATGAATGGATAAATGATTTATATCGTAAAGGGAAACTTAATTGTCTTGTACTATTATATTATCAAACTCCCAACTGGGATTGATAATTTTGAAAAATTTTGTAGTGCACTTAAGGAAGTCATTTCCTTTATAGTATTCAAAATACACATAAAAGAATTTGCAATCATTAAAATTTATTACTGAAAGGAAGGCGGCGAAACTTAAACATTTATTTCGAAATTTTGCAAATTATGTTATAATGCCGAAATTAACGATATTGTGGAACAAAAAAAAAAAATACCTAATTCAGTCACTTCCAAAAGGATATTTTTTAACTGAAATTTTTTAAGAGAAAAGACAAAATCAATTTCATAAAGGAATTAATTATAGAATTTGAGGATATTGTCATAGATGAGTCAATTTAATCAGAAACGGTTATATTGTAACTTTAAACACACGTTGCTACAGTAAATATTTAATTTAAATTAAGTTTCAAGAATGGAAGTTGGTTTCAATTTCTTAATGAATTTAGGTTTTTGTGAAATAGCTTCATACACCGTTACTAATATATAGTTACAACACAACAATTCTAATTATTTCCTTGGAATTTATGGTAATTATAGATTTCTAGTAACTATGCACACAGAATTAGGAAGTCATTAATTTGTGTCATTTCAATCTATTATTTATAAGAACGATATAATGTTGTTATATTATTTTATTTCGTAAATTTATCTACACTAGATACATTAGAAAATTTATCAAGGATATTTAAAATCAGGTGATATTATTAATATCAAAAATGTGAATCAAGAATTTTTACATAGTCTTGATTTTCATTTTACTATTGAAAACGAAGTTGTATTATAGCGTTAAAAATAATTTTCTTATGAAATAAATTTAGATGTAGCTTCTAAATCTATATCGATATACGATTGTTTAAGATCCCAACTTTTTGTTTATTAAAATTTCTGTTTAAAATTTTACTTTAATTAGATTAAAAGCTAACTATCTACCTGCTATTAAAGCTATGCAGCAGCTCAACGCGATCGAATTCGAAAAAAATAAATAAATTAAAAATAACCAAAAAACCAAAAAAATATAAAAATAAAATAAAATAAGTAAAAGAAAAAAGAATATCGAAACCAATAATGAGAAAACGCTTTGAAGTTCAAATTCATCTACAGGAAATAACTCTACGTGTGCTTATTAAGTGTTCATTACCATTTCACATCATTCCACTCTGTTTTACTTAAAACTTGTATAAATATTTACGCAGAAAGGAAAGAAAGGTACGTTTCCTTTGGAGTATTTCGATTGTGAGGAGGCAACTTCTGTAGAAGCTATTATGATGAAAATAATCTATAGTGATATTGATCTAAAATCATTCTATTCCTTTAACTCCTTCGATTTCTTTATTATCATCATTCATCATCTATTAATTTGCATGAAAATAACAAAGGTCACTTGCCAATATTTTTAAATTCAGAACAATTCATTTATAATCAAAACCCTAATAACATGAAGAAAGCAATTTTAACGCGCTAGTTTGTTAACAATACTAATCACTAAAGAAATTGGTCCAAAATAAGATGGAATACAGCTCCCATGATTATGACTTTCAAATTTTTAATTCTCATTCTGATAGTTGTCCAATAAAAAATTGTAATTAAAAAATTCGACACATATTATAGGAAAAAAATCATTTTAAATGAGGATTATTTTTTACACTAGTATAACTTTATTTATATAAACTTTTTGATATGGTTATTTAAACAAATTTGTTTACTAGTTCATCCATATATAATTGGATTTTGTTGAGTCACGAAGTATTAAAGGTTAAATAATAATAACCATGCATTTTTTTATTTTTGGTTTAAAAAATTATTCGCTTATTCTTAAATATGCAAATGATGAACATTAGGAAATTACGTAAGAGATAGAGCTGAAACCTTCAAATGTAAACGAAAATGCCAATTGAAATTTGTTCAAGCGCAATAATTACTTAATTTAGATTATTTCCATCCTGGCAATAATAAATAAGGTGAGATGACGTTATTATTTTTTTCTTTTAAACTTATATCCATGATAAATTATAACGATAATAATAAAAAAAAGTTTAAAGAAAGAAATGAATTTAAGGTGTCTAAAGAAGTTAATTCGACAGCTGGACATGAGAAGTAATTCTGAAAGCTTATCGCAATCAGTATTTGCGTTATTAAAAAATTCATCATCAGAACAATGTAATACCGAGTATTTTTCATTATATAATTTCATTATTTTTTTATTACACATGCTATAATAAATTAAATTTAATAACCTGAATTGTTAGTTATTTTTAATTACTTACTTTATATCAATAGCCAAGATATTTAAGGATGCATATTCTTATGTTCTGCAAAAAAAATTCTCTAGAAATTAAATAAAATGGAACAAAAAAAATTTTAAAGCTGTAATAAATATAAATTGACTATCTCGAATGAAAATGAAAATTTTCATTAAATTCTTATAAAGAAGATTTCACTCCAGTACTGAAAATATTTAGCAATTAGCAAATAAGAAATATTTTATAAATCTTATAGAAAAATCCTATTTTTATTCAATTAACCGATTATCCAATTATAAATTTAATCAATATATATTAATTACTCAAGACGTGATTTATTCAAAATTAAAGAAGCATAAAAATAAACTATTACTGCCTCATCTGGCTATCTGTAATAGACCTTAGAGAAGATATCCAAATATCTCTATAGCATAAGCGTAGTATTTATATAAAATTCTATCTATGATTCGTCTGATTTGATCGACAATGAATTTTTATTTCCAATATTTAAAGCTGTAAACTTTATTTAAGGGAATTTCCATTTCATCCGGAAACTTCATCTTTTTCAACATTCTTTGTTGCTTTGTCTTTTTTCCGTGAAAATATTCATTTGTGCTACCTGCCGATCATCGAAATGATTAAGTAAATATAGCATTAACTTTTTCATACTGAAGTTAAGCTAGCTATCAGCTATTTATTCGTTTATATACTCCTGCAGGACATATGATTGATTTTGTATAATGAAATTTTCAGCCCTGGGGCGTTGTGTCACTTGCCGATCATCGAAATACATTAATAATCTACCAAAAGTTGCTTTCTCCAAATTTTCACACCTTTATCTCGCTACAAAATAAAGCAAAATGCAAATTGACAATAATTCAAATGAGTTGATTAATTCGATTGAAGAATATTTTTTAAGCAAAAATATCAAATTCTATGAATACAAAAATTTTTGTAATTTTCATAAGATAGGTACAGGTAGTTTTGGAAAAGTCTATCGTGCAAATTGGAAATATTCAAAACAACCTCTCGCGTTAAAATCATTTAATAACTTTAACAATGCCATTGTTAAAGAACTTGTTCGAGAGGTAATTAATATGCAATAGGTTTTTCAGTTTGGTATTAAATAATTTATATATCAAACTAAATATTTATACCTAATTTAGTTTGAACATCAACGAGAAGTTGATATTCATAGCAATATTATCCGCTTTTTGGCGATTACATCATCAAGTCAAGGTAATAAGTCTTAATAAATGAGATTATTTATTATTTTATATTGACTTTTATATTGTATTTTTAACAAATATATTTAATTATTTTGTAAAAAAAAAAAAAAAAAAAAAATATTAGAAAATCAAAATAAATTGAAAATTATTGGTTAGATGACGGTACGCTTAAAAACTATTTGAAGAATAATTTTGACAAGCTTTCTTGGGGAGATAAATACAACTGACATTCCAGCTGGCTTGTGCTGTATCGTGTTTACATTACAGAGGAATTGTACATCGTGATTTGGTAAATCTTATGATTATGAATTGATTTATTAAGAATAAATGATTATTAAATTTTTAATCTAATCTCAGGATGCTGGGATAATGAGCCGGATAATCGTCCATCAATAAATCAAGTAGTTGATAAATCAAATGCAATTATTGCAAAAATAAGCGTAACAGAAGATAATCAGACGAACAATTACGAATCAAATCTTCAACAACGTCGTTTGAATAACAATGACATAAATAATGAAGAAATCTCTCAAATTATTCGATTTGATCAGATAAATTATCAAGAGAATAATTATGCATCAAATAATTCCGAAATTATTCATCATTTGGCTGGTCAGAATAATGTAGAATTAGAATCAAATGTCAGAGTATCGGATATTATTTATGATGATACTATTGAAAGTTTAACGATTACGTAATTTAATAAGGATGACATATTAATCGCTTTAGGAGGATTACAAAGATATCGAAAATTAGCAAATCTCACTTGTGATTTTACTCAAATTACCATCTTACCAAATTTACCAAACTTCTTAACGGAACTTGATTGCGCTAACACTGAAATAACTGTCCTACCAAATTTACCCAATTCCTTAAAAATGCTCAATTGTTCTAAAACTCATTTAAATAGCTTACCAACATTACCCAACTCCATAACGGAACTTGATTGTTCTAATACTCCAATAGCTATTCTACCAAATTTACCCAACTCTTTAAACATACTCGATTGCTCTGATACTCAAATAACTATGCTATCAAATATACCCAATTCCATCACGAAACTTGATTGTGCTAGCACTGAAATAACAATCCTACCAAATTTACCCAACTCTTTAAACATATTCGATTGCTCTGATACTCTAATAACTATTCTACCAAATTTACCCTCTTCCTTAACGGAACTTGATTGCTCTGATACTTCAATAACTATCCTACCAACTTTACCCAACTCCTTGACGAAACTTGTTTGCGCTCGCACTCCAATAACTATCCTACCAAATTTACCCAACTCCTTAAAATTACTCAATTGCTTTTTTACTAAAATAACTATCCTACCAACTTTACCCAACTCCTTGACGAAACTTGTTTGCTCTCGCACTCCAATAACTATTCTACCAAATTTACCCAACTCCTTAACAAAACTAAGTTGTTCTAATACTCAAATAACTATCCTACCAAATTTACCCAACTCCTTGAAATTACTCAATTGCTTTTCTACTGAAATAACTATCCTACCAAATTTACCCAACTCCTTAACAAAACTAAGTTGTTCTAATACTCTAATAACTATCCTACTAAATTTACCCAACTCCATAATGGAACTAGACTGCTCTGAAACACTAATAACTATCCTACCAAATTTACCCAACTCCATAACGGTACTTGATTGCTGTGATATGCCAATAACTACCCTACCAAATTTACCCACTTCCTTAACGGAACTTGATTGCTCTGATACTGAAATATCTAGATTACCGATTTTACCCAACTTCTTAAAGGAACTTAATTGCTCTAATACTCCAATAACTATCCTACCAAATTTACCCAACTCCTTAATTAATCTCAGTTGTTATTTCACTAAAATAGATAGCTTACCAAATTTACCCAATTCCTTAGAGATACTCAATTGCTTTGATACTCTAATAACTATTCTACCAAATTTACCCAACTCCATAACGGGACTATATTGTTCTAATACTCCAATAACTATCCTACCAAATTTACCCAACTCCTTAACGAAACTTGATTGTTCTTATACTAAAATAACTATCCTACCAAATTTACCCAACTCCTTAAAGGAACTTAATTGTTCTAATACGCCAATAACTATCCTACCAAATTTACCCAACTACTTAACAAAGCTATATTGTGATAACACTAAAATAACTACCCTACCAAATTTACCCAACTCCTTAACAGAACTAAATTGTTCCAATACATTAATAATTATTCTTCCAAATTTACCCAACTCTATAACGGAACTTTATTGCTCTAATACTAAAATAACTATCCTACCAAATTTACCTTACTCCTTAAAGATTATAAAGTATTATAATACTAAATTAAATATCCCACTACCTAAGGAAAGTGGAAACAAAGTTGTTGATGAAGTTATCAGATATTCACGAATTAATTCTCATATATCTCGTCAAATAGATTTTGTTTCTTATGATCAATTCAAAGATGTTAAATTTATAGCTGAGGGAGGATTTAGCAAAATCTATAGAGCTGCGTGGTGGAATACGCGAGAAGACTATATAATTGTTGCTCTAAAACAACTTAATAATACTAAAAATATTTCTACAAAAAAATTAAATGAGGTATTTATTTAATTAATTAACATTCTTTATTATAATGTGACATACCTATATTTACATTTAAAATTTAACTTTGGAAGTATCTGGATCTTAATGATGGATCTCTTGTACCTGATTATATAAATAAATATTATGGAATCACTCACGATCCTATTTCCAAAGACTATGTGATAATCATGAAATATTGTGAAGCAGGTGATTTAAGACATTATCTAGCAGAACATTTTTATAATCTTAAATGGGTAGAAAAGTTAGATTTATTATATAAAATTATTGAAGGTCTTGAATATATTTATGATAAAGGAATTATTCATCGGGATTTTCATAGTGGGAATATCCTTTGTTATGGAGATCATAAAATTCTAATAGGTGATTTAGGAATTAGCAAATCATTGAATGAATTAGCAGATAATAATGATAATTATAATAAGAATGGTAAAATTTATGGTATTATTCCTTATATTGCTCCAGAGATTTTTCATGGACAAAATTATACTACAGCCTCAGACATCTATAGTCTTGGTATGATTATGTGGGAGTTTATGACGGGTAGAAGACCTTTTTGGGATCAAGATCATGATACGGAACTTATTATTAGAATAATCGATGATATACGTCCTCCAATTGTTACAAATGCACCTGAGGGTTATATTGAATTAATGAGAAAATGTTGGCATCATGATCCAAATAAAAGGCTATCAGCTAATTATTTAAAAAAAAAAGTTGGTAATATGCGTTCTAAAGAATCTTTTAGTAGAACAAAAATCGTATTATCATCAGCTATTGGTCCTATAGCCACGAATCATCCAGGAGCAGTATATAAAAGTAAACCATTAAGCAGATCTGCGATACTCTCAAAAAGTCAATCTGGTACAGAATTCGGTGATTATTTTTATTTTTACTTTTTTATTTTGATTAAAGAAATTTAATGAAGATTTTGTTGAATTGTTTATTGATTATCAAAAGAATATTATATCCTCTAATGGTACATATTTATATAAATGATCATTTTTTAACTTTTTAGATTTTATTAATTACTATATTTTTGGAAATATAAAATATAAAAAAATGATTATAGATGAATTAATTGATGATAAAAGTAATAAAAAAAGTAGATTATCTGATAATGGTAAATATTTGCTTTACTTGAATTATTTATTTTACACGGTATATCAGAATTGTGTGGAATCTCTATAAAGTATAAGTGCTCCTAGAATACTAATATATAATTAAAGACTATTCTGTAATTAATAGATTATGTGACAAAAGAATTGAAAATAGATATTAATATGAATATTGTGAATATTAATGAATCTAATGAAGGTAATGTGATTATGAAAATGTTCATATTAATTATATTTTATAACTAATTTGTATATTTTAGAATATTTAACCAGGGAAATTGATCTTGATATTAATATCTCAGAATTTATATCTATGATCTGTAATACTTTGCATCAAAAATTTTCCTGAAGCAGCCTAAATTATATTACCTATATTTTTCATAAACAAGATATAAACCAAACATAATGTTAAAAATAAATACAGAATCGAAGTCGTTTTTACTTTCCTCTTATTCAATATCATTTCTGTCAATTGGTCAATAAAATTTTTTAAAGAATGTGGCACAGTAACTTTGGTTTCGTTGTGTCAAAAACAATTGACGATCATACACACTCACATTTAGTACATGCTGTATACAGACAAATCTTCAATATAAAAAACGGATTTATTTGAGTTTTCATTGTGAACACGGAATAAAGTTTCCTTTTTACGTATTTATCCCATTTAAAATCACATGATTTTTAATTTACAATATTCTTCAACCGCAGCTTCGCAAGACAATAATTTCTAAGATTATATGAATCATTGACTTGGGCATTATCTTCTCATATTAAATTAACAATGAAGTTTGGTTTTTCGTCATCAATTAAGGGTGAATTATCGCTGGAAGAAAAGAAAACATTTCTGATGGTTGAGAAAGTATTTAAAAATAATATATTATTTAACATAGAATTATTGTATATTATATAATATTAAAATACATTTAGTAATTTGATATTTATTTATCATTTTAAATATCCATTTTTTTTTAATATATTCGCATAATATTTTAAATGACGAATTCGTTTAATTTTAGACTAATTCCTTATGAATAAAAAGTTCTAAATTTGTTTTTAATGACGTAATAATTATTTTTAGTAATTTTTTGGTTACGATGTCATGTTCCAAAATATGCAACATTGGAAATTTTTAATAAGCAATTATGGTTTTTGTGTAAAAAATTAAATAACAATTTCTGGTTAATATTTCGTACAGAATACTCGACAATTAGGCTTTGCAGAAATGGGAGGTTTGCTATTAAAATCAAGTTACGAACATAGTAAATCATATGATCCGTAACGTGATTTTAATAGCTAACTTCCCAAATGCTTTAAAATTCTTTGAAATTTTAATTATAACATCAGTTTTAAGAAAAATCAAATTTTCAAATTCATTCTGAATAGTTGAATTCATTTCTTCATCTTTTATTCAAAATGAATGTCCTGACATTAATCACAGGAATTTATAGTATTCCCAAAACTTATAGATGACTCTATTTATCAATTTTCTCTATTTGTTCATTGCACGAAGTCACTTAGAGGAAGCGACGAATAATAGATTCAGAGAAGTATTTATACAAATTTTCAGAATTATAGAAATCGTGCATGCTTCGCCGTGAAAATTCGGCGAAAAGAAAATTTATGTTAAACGTCAATAATTTAATTTACAATTCTAAAAGTCGAAGGTTTAAATTAACGTTATATACTTAGAATATGAATTCATATATACTTTAAGACCCATTGGAATTCCGATTTGTAATATTGAAAAACCATATGGATCGAACTTTATAAGGAAAAGCTTATTGCAGATCAAAATAAAATTTATAAAGGAATAGGTTGATTTGCTTTGCAAATATTTTTTCGAATTTTACAATTTTTACATTTTTGCGACGAATCCTGGCTTTCAATAACAACAACGTACTAACTCATTATAAAAAATTTTACCAGAAATCTTTCAAATTATTTTGAAGTTATATATTATAAAGTTACGTTATCTTCTTTTGATCTTGTTCATTTATAATGATCTTAAATTTTTATAATTTAGATACATATATAGTGGGATTATTTCATTTAATGGAAATGAACAAACCTTGAAAATTTTGGAAGCTGCTAATGAACTAGAGGTTGGAACCGGTTAATTTTTAACCGGTTAATTAACCGGTTAAAACGGTTAACATGTTAACCGGTTAAAGATTTTTTTTAACCGGTTAAAATAGATGAATTTAAATCCGGCCGAAATTCAATTTCCGGCCAGAATTAAGATTTTTATGATTGACAAAATATTGTCTAACTCTGGCCAAATTTATAATACTGGCCAAAGTTAATTTTAACCGGTTATTAACCGGTTAAAGAATTTTCGGCCGGTTCTAACCTCTAAATGAATAAAGGGTCAGTTAAAAACGGGAAGGGTAAAAGAAGGGTTAGAAAAATTAGAAGAAGGTGACGAAATAGAAGTTGAAGGAGATGAAAAAGAGGATGTATTAAAGAAGGGGAAGGAGGGAAAGGAGAAGAATGATAAAATCTAGTATTAGGAAGAGAAGGAGGAAGAGAAATAGCGGAAGGAATTGGAGAAGGAACAAAAAAAGATGTGGGAATAGGAGAAGGAAAAGGTGAAGGAGGAGTAGAGGAAATTGAAGAAGTGGGAAAAGAAGAAGTAAAAGAAGAAACGGGAAATGAAGGAGAAAAGATAAAGAAGGAGAAGTATTAGTAGAAGGTAAATTAGAAGATGAAGAAGAGGATGAAGACGAGGAAGAAAAATCGGAAGAAAGTGAAGAAAGAGAAGAAGAAGCAGCTGCAGAAGAAGGGGAAGGAAAAGAAGATACAGCTGCTAAAGGGGCAGAAGAAGAGGGAACTGAAGGTGGGCTATAGGAAGGGAAGTTGAAGAAATAGGTCGTCGCCTTGGCGCGACAACAGCACGAGTGATCGTTTAAAAGATTCCTTGAAATAATAAAATGTAAGTTATTATTTGGTTTACTTCTTTTTTTTAAAAAAAAAAAAATGAAAGACGATACCCACCAAAAAGTAAAGAAAAGTTGGAATAAAGGTAAAATGAAGTTGCGAGATCCTTTATTTATTTCAAAGAAACAAATGTATTTACGTCATTCGTAAATAACAAAAAGGACGTTGTTAGTGATAATCCATTTGCGCAACTAAATGACTGTGCCAACTAACGTCACCAATGATCACCAGGAAAATC